TACGGTAGTTATATTCAAAATACTGTCGGCATAGAAAAATAAAATTTTCCATATCAAAGAGTTAGTAAACAATGTTGAGGAGCAACGACAGCGTATAAGTGAGAGACAACATTTAAATCACATAAATAGGACTTCATCAGTTGATCGATATCAATTAGGTTGTGGTCATATAATTGTAATTAAAGAATCCTGTTGTTTTCGTTTCTTATTAGGCTACTGTGAATTTGACATAACATTATAAATTAAAGACATTCTCTTGTATAATTTCAATCTAAATTAACAACGAAAAATAGAAAAATGTTCATCTGATACAACATTTTTTGGTTTGGACTTCTCTGGTTGAACCACCATTGACAAAAATAAAATTCCAAATGCTGTCTTTGAAGTACGATATTATTTTTTTGTATATAATCATGACATTTTTTCCTTTTTTTTTTTTGACGTTCAGCACTTCAATATCTGTCTTTTTTTTTGTTAAGTTGACCTTATGCCAAATACCGTGACAATACAACCACAATATAACATATGTGACCATTTCCAAGGAAACCGTGACATTAAATACGGACGTAATTTCACTATTCCCTGGTATTTCAGTCCTGTTTCTTGTTGGTAAAGCCCACCACCTGAGTACTTTGAAAGTGTAGGAGTATAACAAAAGTGGCTAGAAATAGGGTCGAATAACAGGAAAGGTCCAGCACCGTAATTTACAGTTTTGTGGAAATGCAAAATTCATATCTGTATTATAGGAGACACGCAATGTATGTCAGAGGTGTAATACCGATCAAAGCACGTCATTTGTATTTTGAAGGTATTCTGAATCTGTTTTTTTCATCGATATTTTATTGTTGCTTCTTATAGCATATAATTAGAAACTTAAGAAAGGTGAACCAATTAAATTGAATAATGCAGCGATCAATAGAAATATATTATCAATTTATCGCGTGTCATAGTCAATCAAAAACAAACGTAATTATACTAAAATCTTTATTCGGTCGGCTGCATTTCATTGATGAAATCGATGAGCGGTCCTCCTAAACCATGACTTGCATTTAAGAAAATTTCTCGCATAGAGTAATAAATGAAATTAATAAAATTACAATTTACAATAATATCTCATCAAGAATATTTTTCTTAAACATACGTCTCTACATCAACGTTCCTTTCAAGGGAGTTAACCTGAAGATAACTAACAATTAATCCACTGACCTGTTGTAGAAATATTTTTGAAAAAGAAGTTTTGAAAAAGCAAACAATATTTTATTATCTTAAGGCCTTGCAGTATATATATTTAGGTAGTTGCAAAAAATGGACTTCTTAAGCGTTAAGCGTTTACAGATATCTTCAGGCCTGTACGCGGGGGGGGGGGGACCTGTTGTAGAAATATTTTTGAAAGAGAAGTTTTGAAAAAGCAAACAATATTTTATTATCTTAAGGCATTGCAGTATATATATTTAGGTAGTTGCAAAAATGGACGTCTTAAGCGTTAAGCGTTTACAGATATCTTCAGGCCTGTACGCAGGGGTGGGGGGTGCGTACGCCCCTCTAAATTACAAAAGGTCCACATTTCCCGGCGTAGAAAATGCAAGACACACTCTCACATGCTCCAAAAATCCATCCACCAAAAATGCTTAACCAATCAGAGCAGTTTCCAACTATAGGACTGCCTCTAATTTGTCGTACAAGCAAGGCCTTCTTTTCTTATAAGCTTTTTGAGTAATTTTAGGGGTTTTACCCGCCCGGTTGCGTGTCAATAACTCTCTCTATATAGGTTTCACTAGAATTATCTTTATTCTCGTTTGAAGTCTGCGAGTGCCATTTCCTGCCATCTAGAGGTGCCATAATCATAAAAATTTTCTTTTCCAAAACCCCAACCACGGTGGGGTCGGCTGAGGTGGGGTGGACCCTGGCCAATATATATTTCTGTGAACGTCCCTCCTTGGACCCTCTCTATTTCGAATTCCTGAATCTGCCGCCGCCCCATACAGTATGTTAAAGCCCCTATCTGGCCCGGAAGAGTGTGGACGTATTCTCTTAAAAACAACAACAAAGTGATTTCCCTACCCTGTTCCCAATCAGATCAGTATAGGCTTATTTTATGAATTCTCGATTTTTTATATTTTTGACGTCTACCCATCTCCTCCACGACGTAAAGCGCTTGTCATTATTTGTTCATATTTGCAATTTCCATTAATTTCACTTATTTATAATATAACATTTACATTTGTGGTAAAAAATTAGTATTTTCAATACCCAATAATATTATAGGTTTTTTCATTGTGCGCTAGACATTTATTTCTTTTATGTTTAAATATATTAATGTATTATTTACCTTGTTCTATAATTTAACATAGTCTATTAATATAGGCAGTGAAAATCTGAAACACCACGTGGTTGGAAGCGGCACGTTTCACATCTAAGCTAAGAGTATGTCCAATTTGTAGGGATTTATTTTACTCCGACCTCAATTTATTTACGATTCTTAAAATTTTAACCATATTAATGAACGTTAACCAGTAGTATAACTAATGACATTTCCACGGTGTTTTTAATTAAATTGATTTAATTTTGTATAGATCAGTTTCCTTAACATATTAAAGTTGATATTTATCGTTAGGCCATCAACATTTTAGATAGACTACAGAACATTTGAAAATAAAAACACTGAATAGTGTTGCTCTCAAAACCAGTGGCGGATTGTTTTTAGCGCCCCCACTTTCCACAAATTCGCACCCACCCAATAAAAATCCTGCGTACTGGCCTGTATCTATATTATAATTATGCTTATTTCAAAGCCTAAAAGCACAGTGATGTAACTTACCGGTCTGAAAAACTGTAACAACATATATCATCAAAGTCTCGAGCTCTGCAGAAAGTCGGAATATAATTCCATATTTCAGCTTAATTGAGGGGAAAATAATGACTCACTGTCGTTATTTACTTATTTATTTTGAGCACATTACATTGTTTACAGTGTCACGCATTGATTCTTGACCAAGTAGGGTTTGACTAAATATAATGCCATGTAAAAAAAAATTGCTGATTGTCCCCTTCCTACATCAAAACAATCGCCCAACCATTTTTTTGTTTTTGTTTCTTTGTTGTTTTTTTTACACTTCGGGTAAGCCTATACTTTTTTTATGTAATTGTTTTGTCTTTCATTTGTTTGTACAGGGAGTTATTAGTGTGTATAAATTCCACCTGATCAAACACCACACTGGAAGAACCGTGAAGTTTAAATGCGGCCTTGCTCTCCATAGGGGATTTGACTTGACGTGTATCAAGTGTTTCATCACATTGATCAACAACTCTTTATTTAACATGGCCTAATTAAAATACAGAAAATACAAAAATGTAACGTAACAAAGAATATAACGCACAAGAAGATAAGCAATTTTTAACCATGAGATGTAAAGCAAACCAAGACACATGAGTACGGAAAGCATTATTTATTTATTATTTTTTATGTAAACATTAGTTAAATTTGATTTCTATAATATTTATGGCGTATTTTAAGTGTTGGTTGTAGAGGAAGTCGATGAAAGAAAATTAAAGAAATTTAAAAATATGTTTAAAGATAAAAGTGAAAGAAAAAGTCTCAAGTAAGTTTTACTGAAGTACGGTAAGCATTACTGAACTCATATGAAAAATGATACATTCAGTAACTATACCTATATCATTGCTTAATATGTAATATTTATAATGGCATTTTGATAAAAATGTGGGACGACCCCACGAAAGATAAAAAAAAATTAATAAATATGAACATGTGTTTACTATTATACAGTAACAGTGTACAGTACTGTATTCTGTCTCTTATACACATCTAGATGTGTATAAGAGACAGGTATAGGTATACCGATTTTCTATGATGACACCAGTCCTCCACAAAACAAAACATCGGTCGACGAAACATCGGTCAAAAACAATTTTTGGCGAAATGTGTGTCGGCGAATTGATTGTAGGCGAGTTGGCTGTCGGCGAATTGGCTGTCGGAGAAACGTCCTGTCGGTGAAATTCAGTGTCGACGAATTTCGGTATTGGTGAATGTTCTTTCGGTCAACTGTCTGTCAGGCAAATGTCCATCGGCAAACTGGCGTTCGGCGAAATGCCCTAGTACCATAATAATTTAGGCCAGTTGATGTTTTAATAAAGGCGAAACGTCGAATAAAATGATCTTGTTAAATTTTGAAGTGACTTATTTTATATGTGAGCTAGGGTTTAGTAATTTTACTTCACATGTACATTATTTAACGATATAGGCTTATTAAAAAAAAAATTAACACATGACTGTTGTGTGTATGTATTTTTGACAGATATCGAACAGAGCCCATTGATCTCTACTATAATGGAGATTTTATTATAATATATATTATATAATACCATTTAAAAAAAATTATACTATTATAATAGAGATCAATGACAGCAGAGCTTCAAAATCAATAGGGTGCCCACTGGGGCATCTTGTAAATGTAATTCGTCTCCGAATGCGCCGCCACTCGGGAAATCATGATATGATCATGATTATGAATTTAGGTGTGAATAACATTAATAATTTTTAGATTAATTGTCTTGATCACTAAATCAAAGTGTATTTTATATATCACTGCTACAGCTTCAGTCAGCTTCGTTAATTATCTTCAGGATAGCTCACCTGAAGATTACAATTAACAGTAAATTGTGCTTATATACCGAGTTTAATATACTTTATACCTTGTGGATGTGCAGTTGCTGACAAGAATGACATAATTCGTCCCCTTTATTGCGAGGTAACAATTAATCGTGTATCATTTTAATACGCAAAGACATAAACCCGTATCATTTTAGACAATTTATAATTTATTAATATCTTGAATAATATAGTAACTGCTTGTATTTGTGTTAATCCTGTCATATACTCATCAATTTGAATATCCAATCGTTAATACGAAGTAACAATAATTAATATTTTTCCTTAGTCCTGTACTTCAAATGTGACAAATAAGAATAATAAATTCCTCAACTGTATGTGTTTTCAACTCAATTGATTTATTCAGTAATTGAGTAATTCAGTAATGTAGACATTTCTATCACGGAAACTACAGAACGAGTGATTTCCAACAAGGACAATATATTTATACATTTATGTTGATGTACATCAATTATAAATACAGTTTTTTACTTAAGATTACGGAACTACTTATTTTACACATTAAAATATCAAGGCTATATTATGTACAGAAAATAGTCAAGAATGAAGTAATTCGGTCTACCCTAAATTTAAACATAACTTTTCACTATCTATAAATTCGAATACTTATAGGCCTACAGTGGTGAAAAACATTTACATGTGTACCGTACGTTATGGGGCAGCCTGCCTAAATACTTAAACTAATCTTAAAAGTATACATTGTTCATACATCTTGGATTTTCCCGACCAGGGAGGCCGCTTTATAAAACTAAATTACGCTGCAAATTACACCATTCTGAAACTAGATGAGGTTATAGTATCGCTTCGTTGGTTGGCTTTTACTCGAATTGCACCAATATTGTGAAGTACGTAAATATCATTCCAACTAACTGTAAAGAAAGCAAACACACATTATTCATCTCAACTAATAGGCCTACGGTATCATTTTGGTTTGTGTCATGATAATTGGGCTGTGTATTGTTAGGTTGACGGTAGGCCTATTATTGTCATTATTATTATTATTATTATTATTATTATTATCATCATCATCATCATCATCATCACGTTTGTGTGACCTTTTGTGTACTTTTCTGCATTTGGCATGTTTTGTATTTAAAGCCCCATTCCCGGCAAAATTACACTAAAAAAATGAATACGCATTACTCTAATTATTATAAACCATGGAACAATATTGGCATACATTTTAGTTTTATGCAAAAGGATAAAAAAGAGAAATAATTTGCGTAGGAGATTACCATTTTTTCGACGACTTCTTCGTTACTAGGTAAATTCAGAGGTTGTAGATCGCATCCGCTGGAATGCTCTCGCTTTTTTTTAAATTGTTTCGCAAACGAGCTATATTCTTATCTGCTTATTTACTTTTTTATCGCACAAACCAATGCCATGAACTCTCATGATAAGATATTTTAATTCATCCCCCAATTAATAATAATAATAATAATAATAATAATAATAATGATAATAATAATAATAATAATAACAATATTAAAAAAACATTAATTAATCTGTTTTACTGTACTGTTTATATCGCCGATTACGATAGTGAGCAATAAATAAAGTGTGCCATCTCTAATGAGATTAGTTGTACTTCGGATGTTCGCATCTTGCACACTGCTGTCGATCGAATAGGGATGAGATAATGTTTGTTTAATTGTCAAAATCTCGGTCAAAATTATTTTTTTAACAAATTATAAATAATGCAAATGAAATATTGTTTCACAAAAAAAGAAAATATCATGTCGGCCGTTTTAATGTATGATAACAGCACCTAAATCGAGGCCTAGCCTATGCAGCAGGCCTGTATCACCCACTAACATAATAATCAACCACTAACGTAATATTAACCACTAATGTAATAAAATTCAACCACTAACGTAACATTAACCACTAATGTAATAAAAATCAACCACTAACGTAATAAAGCCATTAACCACTAACGTATAATAACACTTTAACCACTAACATAATAAACTGCATTAACGACTAACGTAATAAAAATCAACCACTAACGTAATAACTTAAGGTTTTACAAAAAACGTTGGACATGTTGATTGTTTTTAACTCTCTTAACAATAAAACGTTGGAAGTATTAAAGGGCCAACACAGTTTACGGAACATTTACAACTTGATATAATTCCGTTTCCACCATGCTGACAAAATATTCTGAAGTAAAAAGTCAAAATGTATGGAGACGGTCAAAATTTCAGAAGTTTCAATCGAGCGTAAAGTGTACAATATTGATCCCTGTGATATCAAGTTAAAATGTATTTTGTTATCTTTAACACTGAAGTTCATGAAACAAATGTTTACCATCGACATTATTTCAACTGAACTGAAACATATTATATTCAAAACAGAATTTAAATAATGTACAGTTAAAAAGTATCCCTAAACATAGTGTTTCATTGAGAAGGTTATTACTATTTTTATTATCTAATTGATAATAAACTGAAGATAATCTGATCATCTTAAATTGCGCAATTTATTAAATTACGTGTAAAGAATAAATTTAATAACATGCCTATCTATATAGACTGGATCTTAATTCTTGAATTATATATTGCATTCATTATTAAACACTATTTATTTTTTGCACTAATGTGTTCCACATTACTTTTTTGCACAAATGGCGTTCCACACTTTACTTTTGCTGGGGTTAGTTACTGGTCAAATAGTGTGGATTTTGACTTTTTGCGCCACAATTTTGTGGTCTAACGTGATGTCAATAAAACAAATTTGGCTAAACTCTTAAATTAAATTGTACCGGTACTGAAATCAAATATCGCACGCAGCTACGCGAAAAGTTAAATAAAAACGTTTGCTTCATGAAGTTTGACCCCCCATCGCCAACATATATATTTAACCGGTGATCTTTGACCTTTCACCTTCCAAATATTTTAACATGATTTAAAAATATCATATTGATAATTTCTCTAAAATTTGATGCAGTTGAAGCATTTCTATATTTGACCTTTTTTATGAACTCTTAACCTTTCATCGTCAAAATATGTTTAACAGTATTTAAAATGTCATAAGCCCAATTTACACCGAGCAATTCTTGCTAGTAAATTGGGTAAATTGCTCTGAAACTGAGGTACATGATTGACAGGTTATTACCCAAGCAAGGCCTATAAAAAATTGAACCGGAGCAAACTTTTTCAGGAGAGTTTCTCTCCCAAGAGATCTACTCTGGAATTTTAATAGCTTTTCCTTCAGTTTACTCAAATTTGAGAGTTAAAATCAGGGATAGATAGGTTTATTCTTATTTAAAAAAAACATATATATCCAGATGTTTACTTATATTGATCCAATTTAATTGTTCAGAATGTTTTCCTGTGTGATGATAACTATATGCATCTATAGATTAATGAACTGCCATAAACCAACACTCTGATTTTCTTTTTCTAGAGTAAAATGCATTATATAAAATTGATACTTCTTAATATACTGTAATATAATAGATAGACATATAACGTAGATAATGGAACATCGAAAGTGCTTCATTTTGACAAAATTGAGTATAACATGTCTTCTTTCTACGGAATACCAATGTATTATCATTATCCTATCATGACCAGGTCACATTCCAGAAACTTGCAAGCACTAATATTGCCCCGTGTAAATTGGAGTGCAAGGCAACTGATTCTGTCTAAAGTTGATATATAGTGATTGCCCATGCAAGCAGTATTGCTCCGTGTAAAATGGGCTTTAATCTTGTAAAATGTGGGTTCAACTGAATCAGTTTTATTGACTTGACATCCACTCCATAAACTTATCCTTGTGGATCATTGAAGTGAAATTTGGGTGCAATTGGAGCATGCTGATAATCTGACCTTTGGTATTATGTGGATGCCTTTAACAGGGAACAGTTAAGTTGTAATTTGGTGGTGATTGGGTAGTACACCGGGAGACAATCACCTACTCTTTTCCGAAGAGTGTACTTCGTTCTTTAACGTGCACATATGCCATAAATGCACACGGGACCAACTGCTTAAACGTCTTATCCGAAAGCTAAGACGGTGCGCTGTTGTATTTCAGCCCTCCAGCTGAAACACAAGGAGAGGCAGCAATGGGAATTGAACCGTGGAAATAGAGATCGCCACGGTTCAGCGCACACACAACTGCTCTCTCAATACAGAGAGAACAAAAGTCCAAAGTTGTGAGTGAGTTAAAAACAAGTTAGTACGTTAGTGGTTAATTTTTATTACGTTAGTGGGTAATGAAGTTTAGTACGTCAGTGGTTGAAGTGTTATTACGTTAGTGGTTAATGACCAGGGATGGCGCCAGGATTTGCCCGACGAGGAGTGGGGGGGGGGGGGCCCCCGACGAGGGGACCGATGCCCCGACGAGGGGTCAGATTTCCCCGACGAAAGCAAAGTGGGCGTGGTTGAACTTCGATTAAAAGGCCTCGAAAGTGGTCTTGGGGGGGGGGGGCGAAGCCCCGAAAATTTTGACAATTTAGGGGTTTCAAGGCTTATTTAATCGATTTTATAGTCTACTAATAATATGTAGAAAATGCATATAATTTTTTTTCTCCCCGACGAATTGTGCTTTTTCTCCCCGACGGGGGTCCAGCTCTCCCTGACGGGGGGCCCTGGCTCCCGCTGGCGCCACCCCTGTACGGTGCACTAAAATACTTTTTGAAAGCATATTTCTAAAGCAAAACATTACTCCTATCATATTTCTAAAGAAAATAAAATATCGTTTTATTATTATAAATAAAAATAAAATATGTCCAA